ACGTTTACATGGATGGTTATGCCATCACTTCTAAGAACCTGTTATTAGGGTTATTCATATTCTAGGCAACAAGATTAAATCACAGTCAAAGAAATTATGAAAAAAAAAAACAAAAACAAAAAAACACAAACAAAAACCAACTAACCAACCAACCAAAAAAAAACACCTCAGTTAAGTATTTCTCAAGTATCTTGGATTTTCATTCTGACATTTTTAAGACCATCCCACTTGGTTGTAACCAAAGCAATTCACTGTATCTCATTACAATTTATGGACTCTGTAACTTTCCCATTTCTACCCAAGTATCACAGTTTTTCTTAGTGAAAATTGATGAATATGAACCAAACACAAAGATTTCTGAAAATCTATCCATTTGTATAGTTATTAAGCATGGAATAATTTCATTCCTCAGAGTCTGAACAACTGTCTCTTTTTTCTAATTAAACATTCTAAAAATCCACAAATACAAGGAAAATAAATGTAAGGTTATCCTGTTTTTAAAAACAACTACCTAAAATGATTTTCCTGATTTAGAATTGATCATTCAGAAAAGTTATATCAAATTCTTGTAAAATTACAGATAATGTTTTAAGTTTTCATATAGGATGTGTATATACCACATTTCTTTCTTTCACTATGGAAATGTTCTATAGCTGGAATTCTGTAATTTTGCACAATTTTGTTCAGAAATGCTGAACAAAAAGGGGAAAACAGTTTTCTATGTTGTCAGATCAAGTTATATTGCCAGCTTCATAAAATGCAATTAATATTATGAAAATCCAGGTATACAAGTAAATTCAGTGTAGCTGCTGTGCCCATAATGAAGTAAGAAGTGATGACCTTTTTGTTTTTGCCACCAGGATGCTGCCAGTCTTTTAATTTTTATTTTTTTTTTTAATTTCTTATTTTATTTTTTAAGCTTGAAGTCATAACTTACCTGTTCACCAATATTCAGGAACTTAGCATAATATTTACATTTCTCTGTTAATGAAAATATTTTTTAATTCCTTTAAAAATAAAGAAAGAAGTTTACATATATATCTTATACAAAAGCTGAGCAATTTGAATACATGTTTTGGAAAAAATCAATATCAAAGTAATTAGCCTAGATTATTCCAGAAACTACAATTCTGGGAAGAGTGCTTCAGCAGCCATTGAAGTCAAGGGCTTATTTATTGATATTCTAAGATGACACAATGCAAAGAGTCAAAGTAAACTTGTTTTAAGGGTGTAAACAAATAAGAAGCAAAACCTTTGCACAAAAGATCACTTGAACGGTGCAGGCTTCAAGTGGTGTGTGCTGCCTGGCTGTGGAGACCTGTGCTCCTCTCTCTGGCATTTCTGCAAAGCAGCAGAAACCTGCCACTTTTACTTCTTTGCAGATTTCTGCTAATGATAAGAGACACTGTCCAGGGTGCAGGGCTTGCCTCCAGATCTGTCTTCCATAAAAAAAGAATGCTAAAGTCTGTACTTGCAGACCACTGCCTCTGTATTTTTTCCAGGTTTGATACAGCTAGAAACTTAAATAGAAATGTGGCTGAAACAAACATCATTTGCCTTCTTAAATGAAATGGAATTTACAGCTTGGCAGAGTCTTGAGATACAAATACATGAAAAGTGGAAGTTTTAAAAGCTGTCCATATTTTTGCCCTGTTCTGCACAGCATGTAAATCCAGTTCTACTCTGAAACATACACGTTCTTAAGCATGTGACATTTGAAAACAGTATGAGAATAGAGGCAACAATGTCTTTCATGAGCATCAGGATGTAATGGTCTGACTCGTTTTCCTACTGAGATAAATGAAAAAATTCCTCAGGCTTCAGCAGGAGCACATAAAGGCTTTGGCTTGTTTGCTGTTTTACATTCACCCTAGAGGTCTGGTTCTGATCCCACCCCAGATGTAAAATGCTGTTCTTCACAGAAAAATACATCAAAACTTTCCTGTCTTCTATGGGTTTGGGCTTATGTTCAAGAATACTATCACTGATTTTAGTAGAGTTACGTAAAAGTTCATGAAAAATAGAAACAGGGTATTCATATTGAACGGTGTGCCCGATGAATAAATGACACCTGAGATGCATAAGTGTTACATTTAAAAGTGTTCCTGAGACTGGAAAAATACTTTTGGCAGTTTGTATGCAGGCAAAAGCTAAGCAGTTGCATGGATTTGGTGGAGATGTGCCACATTAGCTGGTGAATAATGCTGTTCCACAGCTTTCAGAAACCAGGAATGTTTCACTTTTTAGATACAAATAATATGGTGCCAGAGTACATTTTTGAAGGATATATTTTCCATTTAATGTCTGTCACATTTTATGCAGTGTGAAATCTGCGTAAACACTAGATATTCTCTACTGCTCACTGTATCCCTTCACGTTAGTACACTACACCTTCTGGATGTGAAAGAGACTTTCTCCAGAAATTATGTATAGCTTTCAGCATTAGTTAAAACAGATGATTATGGCCTTTATTTTATAACTTTGTTCATAGACAGTAATTTTTATTATATGTACCCACCCTTTCATTTACTTTTTAAATAAAATTACAGTTACTTTAAAATAAAAAAATGAAACTGCTGAATATTAAACTTTCATTAAAACTCCAGACCTAACCCTTTGCTCAGAAATCCATCAAATCCAATATTGCTGTTACAGGTACTGTTACTAATTTTGACATCTGTACAGTCCTAATCAAATAACCTGGACACTGAACCTAAGGAATATTATGAATAAAAATATGGAAAATGAATTTGAGAAAATAAAAGACCCAAGGACAACAATACTCCCAATAAATAACAGATGTGAGATTTTTATACAATGTCAGATTCCTGAAAAACAGGCTGGGGAATTTTACTGGGAAACGCTAAGAAAGAAGCATACTTTCTACTAATGAAATGATACAGAGTGTTAAGCAACAATTTAAAAATGTACTTATTGGAGGCTTACGAAGATAGCTATAGACACTTTAAAGGACAACTGGCATTTATTAGTGACTATTGGTGTTGTATTTAGTTAACTAGTTTGTTGTTCTTGTGTGGAGAGATTTTTCTGTTTGTTGGCTAGGTTTTTAATTTACACTGGTCCCAAATAGCTTGATCCTATTTGTATGGTTGTGACTGAGGTTATTGTAACAGGTTTCTACTTATTGTAAGTAGGAGCTCAGCTGGAACTGAAAGTGTGCTCACTGATTGATTGCCTGTCTGCATGCAGTGGACAGAACCTGTGTTTCTTTTCAAGTTCAGAAAGATTCACAAAACAAATCTAAAAGGTCTAATTTTTTTTCCAATTAACACTGTATGAGAAGGGTTTGTTTTTACTAAATTAATTAAATACTGTAATGATCTAGTGTTAAGATAGGTAACAATGTCAAATTCTCATCTTGGTTTTATTGGTGCAAATATAAAAGCATCTCTTTTGTGTCAAAAGAGTTGCTTTGTTCTGAAAAGGCAAGCTCACAAGCAGAACCATAGGAACTAAGGCAAAGCAAGCACATCACGGGAAGGTACAGTATAAATCATATCCTTAATTCTAAATACTGTATTCCACATCAAAATAAATGAAAACTCTATTTGTTTCTTGTTTCCTTTAATTACTACTGCTGTGCCTAACTATAACATTTATTACTCAAATTGCAATTTTTCATATGCCATTGACCTAATTCTAATATTAAAGAAACCTAAAATTGGAGTGCAAGATTAGGTTCTGAGTATATCAACATATCCAAAGATAAAAAAGAAAACTATAAAAATCCCTGGCCAGAGCTCTAGTCCTACTTTAACCCATGCAATGCAATAGGAAAACAAACAAACAAAAAAACAAACAAACAAAAACTTGAGATGAACTCCATTATTTATTTTTTCTAATTAAATGCAGTGGTTTTAATTCAGCTTGATGAACAAATGCAACTAGGCATTTCTTTAGAGGGAAATTAATTCAATTCATGACAGCAATTCCTGGAATTATATGAAATAGATGTAGGAAAAAATACTGCTGAAGAAAAACGGGAAAAATCTTTATTAACAACAAAAACAAAATAGCATAATGGACTGATTGTACATTAAAAAATAGTTACCTGGTTTTATATACGTATGTGTCTTAATGTGAGGTTCAGTTGCTTTAGAAAATATTCTTTGTACTCATTTCACCTTGGTAAAATTTCAGTTAAAATAAAAGAAAACAAAAACAAAACCAACAACACTGAGCTTCAAGAACATATTCTAGCAGCTAACTTCAATGAAAATCCCAGCTTCAGTGGACCCACTGACTGACCAGGTTTACTGCTGGACTAGTGATTCCTCTGAAACATTTTAGAGCCTTTTACATAGCACTACTGAACAAGGCCAGAGGCTTTTCTGGCTTCATTTACTTGAAAGAAAACAGTAAAACACTGAAAGAATAATGAAATGGCTTGGTGCTTCCATGATGATGCCAGCTTGAATGTATAGAATTTATTCTGATATTGTACTAATCCATTTCTGAACAACTAAAGAAAGTTGCAATTTCTGTTGCTCCATAATAATAATAAAAAAAACTATTTAGTT